AATTCTAAGAAACAATAAATTTGAGTTTTAATGGAAAGTTATAGAAACAAGTTATAGGAGCGCCCCCTCCATATGTGGTATATTTACACCATCATGCACATATCTACATCTGTCTGTCCTATTAATAAATATCTTAGATAAAGTTCAAATGGAAAGAAAACATCAAATTCCACTGTAAATTTAGAGATGATGGTTTTATGGTCTTCACAGGCAAAATAGAGCAAGTTGAAGATTTCTTTAACATAGCGAACAAAATTTCCCCTATACTTAAGTTCACATATGAGGTAGTAGTTGGGAGACTTTTGAAAAGGGACCCAATGCTTCAAAAGTTAACTTTAAGCAAAAAAATCCCAAAACACTGTTAAATTTCTGAATTATAGGCAACAAACATAAGTTAGCAAAAAACAGTGTTAAGTTTTGAGATTTATTACGTATGTTGATTGAAGGAACCGCATTTCATAATAATCGAATTATCCTGCGACTGATATGATTATATAATATTTGGTAAACTATGCTTGCCAATGAGAGAACTTTTCAATAAACATGGCGTTGAATGTTGAGACTTAGCAAAGCGAGCTAAATGACATCAAATTTACCAGTGTTGTACAAGATATAAATCAATGGCAATATTTTTATACAAAAAAAAACGAAAAACAGACACGATAATAAGCAAACAAAAAACAGGCTCCAGATTTGGACAGGTATATTAAGTATACATGTATAAGCAGCAAATTGAATGTATTAGCTGGATCCAAACCCACTTCTAAGGTGGAACAGGATATTACGGCACAAAATAAGATGGTAAGCAAGTAGATTTTGTCTTATTTGGTAGGAATAAAACTTTCACATTTTATGAAACAAAATATAGTTCTTGCTCTGAAATATGTATTTTAAAAAGAAAAATATATAAAATTACTGAGGGATTCTAGGTGAAATATTACCTCTACCAATAAACACCCTAGAAGTGTCATCCATTGGTAATAGTTTCACCTTTCACACTGGTAAAAATGAAAGCTAACACCATCCAGAAATGAACTATTGAAATAAATACATTCCTTATCTCCCTACTTTATATTTAACACCACTCTCAACATGCCATAATTGTCCTGTTTTACAATAAAAAGAAAATATTATCCTCCACACACATGGTAATGAAAATACTGAGATATAATTTACAATTCAGTTGAAATAATAATTAGCATAAATACCCTGGGGTCATCTCTCATTAATTATCCAGAATGTTGGAGTCATGCCATGAGTGGTTAACTGACAATAAATTGTCCCTACATTTGGGAAAGACGGAGAATATAATGTTTGGTCCTGGTCGAAAACTTAGGTCTCTAATACCGGGTGATTTTGCTATCTCTTGTAATGGTATTAATATTGAATCCTAAAATTTTGTAAAATATTTGGGAATTTGTATTGATCAGTTTCTGACTGGTGATTTTATTGTCAATTCTATAGTGAACTTGCTACCGGAAATAGTTAAAAGTTGCTCAAATAAATATAATTTAAAAGTACAAGTCAAAAAAATATTTGATGGTTATAAATTTAAATCCATCTTTGATAGTGAATTTGTTTTATTGAGGCTTTATCTGTGATAATTTTAAATGATTTTGCTATTTATATGTGTCAAGCTTGGTGTGAACTGTTAGTCTCTTCTTAAAAGGACCCCACTGGAAATAAGTTTCATTAACTTTTGTTGGTCATTCTAGGGTATTTGGCTGCAGTGGAAATCTAGTCCATTTAATTAATTATTTACAGTCTAGTCAAAAATTAAAATAATGAAAATTTCAATAATTTTGTCTTTTTAAATTATTATTTTTAGTGATCATAACTAAATCATTTTAGTGTGTGTAACTGTAAAATCCTAGTCATGTCTAGTGCTATATCTGTATGTCATTTTACTGTATTGTGTCTGTCAATTTCATGCCTTTTATCTTGAATAAATATATATATATATGCTGTGTCTTATGATGTCTTATCTTAAGGCCAGGAGAAAATATGAATGTAAAGCTTCAAGCAGAAGCCCGAAAACATACTTCAGGAAGAACCCGATTCAGTTTGGAGGACAGTGCTCTGACAAAAATTTCAATTTAAAAAATCTAATATTATGGATTGATGTTTACTGTCATATATGAGATGTATCAAAATATTATACCATGTATAAGATATGAAGCTAACTGATTTCTGTTGGTTTTTTAAATTGTGATATTGGCGTAAAACGTTTCAAAATTTCTACTTAATCGAAAATTTTGAATAATTGTGTGATTAAAAGAAGTTATAAAGTTTTAAAATTTGAATTTCTTTAAAACTTTATTTGATATGTTGATTATGGCTAATTTTGCTCGTGATATTCTGCATGCACGGAACGACACGAATGTCACCTGCAGCCTAGTTATTTAAGCCTGTATGTTGCAGTACAAATTGGAATTCATGAGTAGGAGCCAGGATCCTCTTGTACAAATTGGAATTCCAATATCTACTTGTAGAAATTATAATTCTGGTTTACACTGATTAAAATCCAGTTAGTCAAATTGAAATTCTAATATCAGCGAGGAGGATTCAGAATACACGTACTTCTGAATTCTGATTTGTACTGTAACAGTATAACGTGTACATTTGAAAGATGAGGTGTACCAGGGACATGCACTGACAATACTGTGTTCGTGACTTATACGACAAAACTTCCATCATACGGAGACATATATACTGTATATTTATGTCTCTGCATCATGTGACGAATTTTAGTTACTAGTTTTGACCTCTCGATATTAATGTAAAATATGGTGCAAGTTAAACAATCTTCTGCTGCCTATACGACAGATATTCCGCAAAGATTGTGCATGGTTATGTACGTTTATGATGTCTCGACGTATATTAAAGCCGGGGGAAATGTAAGTCTTATTAAGCGTCCAGCAAAAAAAAAAAAAAAAAAAAAAAAATGACTCTAGGGAGCATTCGATTCAGTTTGGAGGAAAATCTTATATTATATATGGAATGCTGTTAACTGCCATATATGATATGTGTCAAAATATTAAATCATGAATTAGAAATGAAGATAACTGACTTAAACACCAAAAAACTTCAATTATGCACAAATATATGTCATCCTAACATTGTTTTATTTTGACTTTACGTTATGTTTCTATAACTTAACATTTTACTGTTTCAAGTCAAGACCAAACTACTTCAATATTACATCGATTAGTTTCAAGTCAACACGTTGTATGATAAGCCTCTCGTGAAGTCATAATGGTAAAGCATCGTGCTATCTTAGTTCAACATCACGTACTTTCAACAGCATATTGTATACTAAGCCTATCGTGATATATTATAATGATATAACGCTTAACATCACGTACTTTCAACTGTACGCCGTGTAGTTTCATGTGAGCATATTTTATGGTAAGCCCATGATGGCATCGTGATATTATACTGATAAACCATCGTAATGTCTTAACTTAACATCATGTACTTTCACCGTTGCATCGTGTAGGTTAGTCAACAAATTGTATTGTAAGCCTATCGTAACATTATAGTGATATATCATCGTGCTATCTTAGCTTAACATCATGTACTTCCATTTGTACATTGTGTAGTTTTGAGTCAGCATCCTTTATGATAAGCCTTTCGTTTCAATATAGTGGTGAAGCATCGTGCTTTCTTTGCTTAACTTCATGTACTTTCAGCTGTACATCATGTTATTTTAAATCAACATATCGATTGTATTATAAACCTTTCGTAATGTGACAATGATATAACGTCGTATACTATCTCAGCTCAACATTTATTAATGATAAGTCAGCACCATATATTTTAGCTATTCATTTTAATTGTTATCATAGCAATCGAAGTGGATGACTGAGTATTGTCCATCTGCAAGCTAACATCATGCAACGTCAACTTCACATCATGTAATTTAAACTCAACGTAACGTGTATTATTGGCATAGGATGAAAAATTTTGTCCTGCATTTTTTTTTTATAGTTGTAATCTCTGTCCTGCCTTTTTACAGTCCTGCCTTTTTTGTTTTAAAGTTTATCCTGACTTTTTTTTACCTAAATTGTCATCCTGACTTTTTTTTTGCAAGTGCAAGTGTCTCATCCTACCTTTTTTTTTACTCAAAACTCCTGTCCTGCCTATTTTTTCAAATTTCATTCTAGCCCCCCCCCCCCCCGCCTCCATAAAAATCAAATGGTAGCTCCCTTACGTAACTTTACATTTTAAGCTTCGGCATGACGTTTTGTATATCTCTAACATGTGACGGCTGAGGCTTTCCATAGTCATCGACATTGATTCGATTTCGTATCGATATTACCGATATTGAAATCTATATTAGTCTTGGAGATGTATGGAAAATCACAATAAGTACAATCTCATGAAGTCACCGTGTTTTAATTTCATCAAAATTCGGTCACTAAACTAGATCGAACCCCAGGGACTCGGTTAGCATATTAAAAACAATTTTCAATCAATGTTTTGTTGAATTTTTGTTCGTATTACCTGTCTATAATTATTATATCTATGTGTATGACCTTATGACTAACGTATCTATAAACGTTGGCATTAATATTCCTTTAATTGACCCTAGGATTTTTCAGTATACGGATATTGATAATTTAATGCTAGAAAACAAAGAATAAAGTCACACAAATAGACAGGAAATATGAAAAAAAAAAACCCAAAAAAACATGAATTAATTTTTTGTTTATTTATCTTTCCTTGTGGACCGAACAACCGGGAACGAAACGCAATTTTGGCCACTTTTCTCATTTGATAAATACAAATGTAATCAGTGTCATTCCTCCATTTCATATGAATATTCCCAGAAAAAAATGAATTATTATCATTATTATTATTATGCTGCAGGCGGGGACATTCTATCGCACCGAAACCGTTGAAACGCGCTGCAGCTTCAGGCGGGGGCATTTGCATCGTCCGTACCGACAGACATTTCGGGTTTTTTGGTAAATTGCCGGATCAAATAAAGGGCCGTCTGAGTACCGAAATCACCAATTTCGTCGTGATTGTCCAAGAGGCTCATCGTGAAGACCATCATGTATCTTTAAAGAATAATAACACAAACAATTAATTATTAATTAGTATCCGTGACAACTTGAGCACTATCTGTGTCATGGAGGACTGGATCAAATGAATGTAAACATAGGAAATAATGGCTGCATGTGTACGTGACAAGGGGAACATACGCAACGTTTGCCAACTTTGCGGCCAAGTGAATAATTTAATGATCTGTGCAGGTTGTAAAAGAACATGGTATTGTAGCAGGGAGCATCAGAAATATGACTGGAAGTATCATAAGAAGAAGTGCAAAAAGCTAGAACAACCAACAAACGAAAAGCAAGAATTGGGTCAAAAAACTAAATCGTCTATAAATAGTAACGAAATATCAATACCGGAGGGTTCCCCACGTGTGGATGGGTTACGTGACAGTGAAGATGTAAGTTCGACAGTTGTTGACAAAAACAAAACCATGAGTGAATTAAGATCCTCGAATTCTGCAGGAAATGTTTCCAGATTAGAACAATTGAATTTGGAAGAAGATAAACAAGTTACTGTTCCAAAAATTGGCAAAAATTCCTCAAAGGAATACTTCTTACATTCAAATATTTCAGAGTTAAAACCTTTTACATCAGAATCAGTTCGACAAAATATTGCTAGACACTCTTCTAAGAAGAGAAACAGTTCTGACAAAATGCCGCCAACAACAGAAGAGGAGTTTGACACAAGCAAAACATACTTTTCAGTACTTGAAACCAGGACTAAGATGCTTGCAGACTATGCATGCAATTGCTTAAATCGTTATGGTGTGTGTGTTATTGACAATTTTCTTGGAAACGGCAAAGGACTTGAAATTCTGGAACAAGTCCAAGACATGCATCGAGCTGGATTATTCACAGAAGGACAACTAATGAACTCTGAACGTGGAAGTTCAAATTTGAAACATGTTAGAGGAGATGTATTAACTTGGGTTGATGGTGGTGAGGAGGGGTGTGAAGACATTGGATTTCTTGTATCCTCCATGGATGCTGTTATTTTAAAGTGTGCTGGCAAATTGACTAATGTTAATGTAAATGGGAGGACAAAGGTAGATACTATTTTGTCGTTTTCATTTTGTTTGATTATTTGGGTTCTTTTCAGAGTCAATTTTTCTGTGGTAGACATGACTGACATACAAGTTAAAAGTAGTCTTTATGCTTAACCACAGGCCCAGCAACCCAGGCCTGTAATCTCTACAGGATAACATAATCTAACTAAAATTTTCCAAAAATTGAGCTCCCAACCTCTTTACCGTAGATTTAAAAGTTGATCGTGAAGACTGTTAAAGGAGATACCATTTTAGAGAATGCAGATGTAAAAGCCACATATACTTCCTCAATAGCCCAAATTTTTGAATTAATATTGTCAAAAGCAAATCAGGATTCAATAAATTTGATCGATACAAAGTTGCGCATAAGTTTATGTTACCAATATTAATAGTAAATTTGACATTTTAATGTCAATTTTATTATTTTACAAGTATTTCTACTCAAACATGTACATTTTGTACATGACATTACATACCTTGTACATTTGTGACAAATTTATATTCCTTTCAATATTCAGTTCACAAAGATTTACAAAATGTACATGATGCAAATGTTCATGTTCTGTGTTAAAGGGGCACTAGCTGTCAAATTCATGTTCACTGATTTGACTCAAATTCTCATATTTGTTATATAACAATGTAAAACATTTATCCAAATTATAAAAAATCTAAAATAAACAATTTACAGGGCATAGGGTCGATAATATGTTTCGTTTTGTGTGTATTTTAGTCTAGACGCCATCTAATTAACTGTCGAGTTGACCTCCCGAAAACCACCGATGCCCATATAAGGGATATAAACATAAATAAAGATATAAATAGATAGCGCAACTCGTGCAATTGGATTCTTCTAGGTCTATTTAATTTCATTTATAGATTAAAAATATATGTTAATCATCATTTTTACCTGTACATGCTGTATAAGAATGATTTTTTTGAGGATCGAATCAGTCAATTAAGTGAATTACCTTTGTTTACTTTCAATGTTGACATTCTTTTCCATTAAATAATCAAACATGCACACAATTCATGCGTTATCCAACTCTATCTAAGGGATTAAATTGAAGTTCACATGAATACGGATTCAATGAGGTCGAATTATTCACTTGCAAGTGAATAATTTATCATCAATATCTATTTGCTTATTTTGACAAAATTAGACAATACTGGCTGCTAAAAGCGAATTATTATTTCACTATTCCACTTTCATTAATGATTGAACAAAAAAAATCATATTTTATGATTTTTTTATATCTCGTAGCTAGTGCCCCTTTACAAAACACCAAACACTTACACGTACATGTACAAAAGGTTGTAAGTACATTTATGTACTGTGTACAAGCACATGTACTATTAACTCTGAGGCCTATAATAATTTAATCATAATTATATTTAAACATGTCTCAGTTTAATTAAATAACAAAATAATATAAAACCTTATAAAATGTACCTTTGAAGAAGAGTTCAGTTTTGAATATTTCATTGTACAATGTATCTTATTATTAACCAAAAGGAAAAATAAGAGCATTTGAAATCACAGTGACACCTGAATTTCTATCAATCATTGCCAATAGAAAATTGAAAATATGTTAAAAATACTTATATAAACTGTATAGCTAAAATGCTTGATCCATTGATCACAGATCAGTTTGCAATCATGTATGTAGGTGATTTTAAACTGTAGAAAAATTGAGTAAAACTCATCAGCACTTGGTATTGTGAAAGACTTTTTTGAATATATATGCACAATATTAAATAACTGACCATGCTGAGCACATGCACAACCCATCATAACTAACAGTCTAATTAAAGGTTCAATGTATACACATACAGTCTTTCAAGACAATGACATATCAGCATTGTTTTTGTGCTTATTTTTTACAAAACTGAACCAAACTGGCTGCTATAAATAGGGAAAATTTTTATATTTTTTCATATTCTGATTTATTAATTAAAGTTTGAACATGTTAAAACAAACTAAAAATCATACTTTTTTTTGTCTTGAGCATATCCATGATATCCAATGCTGCCAGTATCTTCAATTTTGTTTAAATTCACAGTACACTTGCGGTCCTATGAAAATTAAAATTTATAAAGTTTAACTCTATATGATTGAAGTAAAAAAGTAAGTTAGTGTTTTAAACTGTCATGACAGTATAATTCAGTACAAGCAGCTAGCTATATATAGCTGTGTATTGATATCAAAGTTGAAAGTTGGTTTCAAATCTATACAAATTATTCAGATCTTTGTCCTGAGGATTAAATGGATAGTTGTCTTATCCACATCTAATTCTTTTCTTCTGTGATATTGCTGTTTTTTGCTGATATGATGTCAGTAGCTAAACCAATGACTGAGAACAATAGAAAATTTTCTCCTCTTATGAAAAAGTGCAGAGTCGAGAAAATCAATAGTTAAACAATGTTGGTGACGATACTGATCAAAATTTCAAATAAATTATTTGTTAAACTGTGTTACAATGTGTTATTTAAAATATATATGCAAAGACACCATATTTTATGTTCATTATTTACAGAGATAATTACATTAGAAGCTTGGGAAACTGAAATTTAAGAACTGTTAATCTTTGCTGCATATTGATAAAAAAAATTGGAAAAAATCATGTACATGTACAAACAAAATCTTTCAGGTCAAAAATTTTCGTAGTGTTCCACATAGTCCTAAGCATGTTACAATTTCCGAAAATTATACCTATTATTCACATTTTAAGTTTTCGTCGGTCTGCTCTTGTCATGTGAACTTTCAATATAGAAATATTGTCTTTTTCGTGAAAATAACACTTTAAAAGTCATGTCTGTGCAGTAAAAAAATTTAAGACAAATATTTTTATAAAGTAGGTTTTCTGTTAAAAGTGTTTTACTACTTTTTTATACAATTTTAAGAAACGGTCGTCTTGATTTCTGTACATGTATTTGCGGTTTTCTCGATCTATTCACATTCAATGTATACATCGGGATAAGGTCTGTTCGAATTTGCTCTGTAACTTAATTTCAAAAGTGTTAATCTTTGCATATTAATCAATTCTGTTGGAAATTTTTTCCTGGACTTCTCTGATCTAGCTGCAAACAGATAGGGATAATTGGTGTGTTCCAGAGAGGTAAACAGTCAGTAGAAAAATAAATTTAAGTTTGTACTCCAGGAATTTATTCACATGGACAAATTTTAAATCAATTTTACCCAAAGCTCTGATAGCATGCTACATACTAGTCCTTTGCTATTTCAGGAGGGAAATGATAACATTATATGAAAATTTTGTTTTATTTCAATTTCATTTTATTGATACTTGTGAATTTATGATTAATAGCGTCCTACAATGTAGCTAAAACAAGACAAACATTGAAGAGATCAAGGTTTCTGTGTTTACAGGGGAGGAAATATTTTGTCACTGATGTTATTTATTTAAAGGGTCGACACTATTCAATTTCAATTATCCAAATTTATGAAAATAGTTGACATAAATTTCAAGTTAATTCAACTGTTGATTATAGATGCTTCATTTAATTCAGAATTCTGGTTGGATAATATTAACTTAATAAGAGATGTTCAAACTCAAATTGCATGCCCATGCACATGTACAAATGAACTTAATATAGAAAAAAAAATGTTAAAGTAGTCAAGGACCCCATTATTGCCAATTTGTTTATTTTTATATATATATAGCAAGAACAAAAATTGCTATCATACATGTGTCATAGTGGTTTATATTTCAAAGTGTTTGATATTTTTACATTAAAAAATGTAGAATTTTGAAACCTTTGAATTAAATAAAAAGTATACTGTTATCATTATACAAACATTTTAACCCCACATTCAAATGTACCTGTTCAACAGATAAAGAAGTTTCTTTTTTAACTTTCAGTGATTTTGTTCACCTTGTAAACATGTTAAATGATCAACAACTTTGAAGAGTCACATTTTTGTACATTGTATTTTCTTGAGTTTCCTCAGTCAGAGGCGGATACCTAGTTGAAATTTAACAAAAGAAATGGAACTCTTTATTAGAGAAGGTAAAAAAGCTCAAGTTGGAATATTTGAATTGTTTACATCTGTTTCTGTGGGCTTTAAAAGTTTAATGAAGGTACATGATTTAGGATTTTATGCATCTTATATACATGTTTTTACTTAAATTATAGTATGGAGCTTCAAGATAAATGTAAACTTTGAAATTAAAGACAAATTTAACAAAACAGTCGATTGTGGTACATGTAGGTGCAAATACATGTGGATCTTTTTTGTGCATAAGCATAAATTCTGCCGAAAAACAAAACCCACAGAAAGATAAAAGATTGATCTTTGAAAAGCACTCATTTGCATCACTGCCCTGGCGACAGTTTTTTTTGAAAAAATCCTAAAAATGGGCAATAATTTCATCGAAAAGAGAAAGTCGAGTGCACCTTATTATGTTCAGGTGTGTTTGTGTTGACTATTTCGTCCTGAAAACGTATAAAGCATAAATATTTGATACATTATCTCGCTTCAGATTATATTATTTTGATATATTTAGGCTACAGGTTGACTTACTATCATTAAACATTCACAGTACCAAAAATTGAAATATATGGGTCAAGTGAAATACCTTTCTAATGAGTCATAACAACAGAGAAGGTGTGTTTTGATAACAAATTTTTACTAAAAATACTTGAAGACAGACTTTACAAGTGGATCTTAAAAATGCATAAATTCAAAAAAAGTTTAATTTTTTGTGTGTGTTATCTAGGTTTTTAGTCTTCAACCTCTGAAAATTTTTAGTCTTCCCTTCCACAAAATATTTAATTCGAATTTTTTGAATATTTTCGAAATTTCAAAAATTCCCCGACAACTGTTCAGACAATAGTTTTGTTTACTAAACATTTGCTAAAGGCATAAAAGTACATTAAATGATGCTCAATAGATATGCTTGTCTTTTAAAATACAACTGGCATATAAGGATCGTAATGATGCTATGTGGATAAATTTATTGGTTTTTAAGAGCTTAGTTGAC